CCCTCATTCATTCACTACACGCTCGCTCCCTCCCTCATTCATTCACTACACGCTCACTCCCTCCCTCATTCATTCACTATACACAGGTGCCCCACCCCAGGTGTCCCTGTGCAGCCTCTCCGCCGTCCTGCAGATCCCAGTATGCCCAGGAAGGCCAGCCCTTATGTAGGCTGGATTGATGTCCCTACACGCTCGCTCCCTCCCTCATTCATTCACTACACGCTCGTTCACTCCCTCATTCATTCACTATACACAGGTGCCCCACCCCAGGTGCCCCTGTGCAGCCTCTCCGCCGTCCTGCAGATCCCAGTATGCCCAGGAAGGCCAGCCCTTATGTAGGCTGGATTGATGTCCCTGATCTAGGTAGCTGGGCGGTCTTTTTCTATGTTCCTCTCCACTATCCTCTTTCTTTCTTTGAATCCTGATCACTGGATGGCCGTCCGGGGTCCCTAGGGTATGGTCTGCACTGCCACATGGGGGTGGCAGGAAAGCTCCCTGTCCAGTGGTGTGCTGGTCAAGGTCAGCTGTCTCCTACCTGGACTGTGGGAGAGAGGTCTCTGGACAGGAGAAGACGGGTTGAACCAGGCCAGGGAGGTGCCCATAGGGTTTTCAACCCATGCACCTGAGAACACCCAGGAGCCCCAGTAAAGGGGCCTCTGGTGCCCATGTAGGGTGAGGCTGGGAGACCAACTGTCTGCTTCGCCCAGGATTCTCGCAGGGGCTTCCAGGCTGGAGTGCAATGGCGCGATCTCGGCTCACTGCAACCTTCCTCTCCTGGCTCAAGTGATTCTCCTGCTTCAGCCTCCTGAGTAGCTGGGGTTACAGGTGTGTACCACCACGCCCAGCTACTTGTTGTATTTTTAGTAGAGACAGGATTTTGCCACGTTGGCCAGGCTGGTCTCAAACTCCTGACCTCAGGTGATCCACCCACCTCAGCTTCCCAAAGTGCTGGGATTACAGGCATGAGCCACCGTGCCCAGACAAGGGGCTTTTCATTTTTAAGCCAGGGTGAGGTGGTTGCTCCAGGTGAGATGCCTCCATTCTATGAACCCAGACGCTCCCCTTCACCCATTCTATGGCGTGACTCCATGTGGGATGTTACTTGCAAAACATCAGCGCTCGCCAGGTGTGGTGGCTCATGCCTGTAATCCCAGCACTTAGGGAGGCCAAGGTGGGCGGATCATGAGGTCAGGAGTTTGAGACCAGCCTGGCCAACATGGTCAAACCCTGTCTCTACTAAAAATACAAAAAATTAGCTGGGCACAGTGACACGTGCCTGTGATCCCAGCTACTTTGGAGGCTGAGGCAGGAGAATCGCTTGAACCCAGGAGGCAGAGGTCGCAGTGAGCCGAGATCGTGCCATTGCACTCCAGCCTGGGCAATAGAGTGAGACTCCGTCTCAAGAAAAACCCAAAAGCAACAACAAAAACACCATCCAGCGCTGGTTCAGGATGTGCCTGCTGCAGTGCTTGGGATAGAGCGACTGACGTCAGCATAAAAAGATAAGACGGGAGATGGAGAACGGGGTGCAGCGGCTGTGAGACAAAGCAGGCGGACCTCGGGTGAGAGGAGGCTTTGATGTCCAAAGGCTGCCTCTCTTCCAGATGTTTGAAAATCTTCCTAATGGAATGCTGTAGGGGACAAGCATTTGAGTGTCATGGCTGAGCCGGGGAGTGTGTCTGAGAAGGGCTGGGTACCTAGGCTCTGGGTCAGCCTGACTCACAGCTGGGGAAGTGAGCCAAAGGTGTCAGAACGAAGGAAAAGCCTGGGTAGTTGAATGTCTTATTTACTTGGAGACAGGATGAGGAGAGACAAAGGAATCCAGCTGCAGGTCGCTGCTTTCAAAATAGGCACTGCCTGGGGGATGGGGGATGTGGGATGCGGCCATTTCCAAGGCACAACCCTTCTCCACAGCTAGACGCTGGATTCATTCTGGGGACTGCCACTCTGCCCACCCCCAGAACGGCATGACCAGCATGGCGTCGGGGCCACCTCGGCTCACAGGCTTGGGGCTTAGAGGGGCAGCCTTGTCCCGGGTCTTTAAGGAAAGCAGAGGGAGACTCCCAAGTCTGAAGCCTCCGTCCTCAGGGGGCTGAGTCAGCCAGCCAGCTCTGGCCCCCTCTCACCCTCCCCCTGGGCAGGCCCTCACCTACCACCTTCCTGAGTGTGGCCAGGGTGCAGGTGGCCAGCTGCTAGCCCAGAGGTGGCACCAGTATCCCTGGCCTCTGCCAGCCCTGATGGGACCCCTCCCTTGACCGGCCCTTGTGGACTTGGGGTCGGGGTGGGTTCTCCTGCCTCCTGTGGACCAGAGGGTCTCTCCAGCTCCTTGAGTTGGTTGCTTCCTGAGAGATTTCTCCTTCTGACAGCACCAGGCCACCAGAAGGGCTGGGCTACACAGAGCCTGCCTGGGAGGGTGGCAAGCTGGGTCATTAAAAAGAAAATCAAATGTAAGGCCGGGCACGGCGGCTCATGCCTGTGATCTCAGCACTTTGCAAGGCTAAGGCAGGTGGATTGCTTGAAGCCAGGAATTCACGACCAACCTTGGTGACATAGCAAGACTCCATCTCTACAAAAGATACAAAAGTTAGCTGGGTGGGGTGGCGCACACCTGCAGTCCCAGCTGCTCGGGAGGCTGAGGCGGGAGGATCACTTGAGCCAGGAAGTCAAGGCTACAGTGAGCTGTGATTACGCCAGCAGACTGGGTGACAGAGCGAGACCCTGTCTCTAAAAAAAAAAAAAAAAAAAAGCTAAACCTCACAGGCACTATCCCCACCTCAACCCCCAAAAGTTCCTAGGATCCAAATTTCTAATCCA